AATTTCGTTTTCACTGCGTACAAATATCGTCATTTGACGTCAATCTTACCTATATCATTCTTGCATAATTACATTTTTTTCATCTATCTCTCTGCGTACATATTCTATCTTTCTAATAACATCATTCGATCATCACTATTTTAACGCACCGTTTGACGTCAATTCTTCATCAACCAACTACTATAAAAGTTCATACATTCACTCTCACTATCCCAAGTAAATACATTCAGCCTTTCAAGCCTACAAACACTTCTTCAACTTATACATATATGAGTAAGTAGCCACTATATTCATCCACATTCTCAATCATCCTTCTCTTCTAGACTTTTTAATCAATGGAATCGAACGTCGTGTCGGTATTGACTTGAATAATGATGGATATATTGGAGGAGAAGGTAACACATTCCATCTCATCTCATCTCATCCTCTTAGATTCTCTTCTCATTTACAGGTTTTATGAGTAAACTCGAAAGAGTGACACACATTGATTTCAATCGTGACAACATCATTGGCCGTCCATATGATGTACCATACTATGCTCCAACCATCCTACATCCTCCGGCAACCTACTTTGGTGGCTATTCGTCGGCACCATATGCTGGATTCACCTATGCTCCAACACGTTTTGCCTACTATTAAAACAATACATGAACTCGATACTTTCATTTTTATCACTTTCTTTTTGTATATTTCATTTTTCGATAATCACAAAATAAATCATTCTCGCATTCTCATCATCAGCAGCACCAACATCATTCCGAAGTCCTTTCATTTGTGCATTTCTCACACTTATTGACAAAGTCAATCGATGAGTTGTTGTAACAGCTATGCTTTCCATCTCAGCTCTTGTCTATATCAATCATTACCATTCTCCACTACTATTCGTTTCAAAAAGTAATGTGCGCAAGTTTTTAAAAAAATAACTTTTGATAGAAAGCAGCGACTCTCACCAGTGAAAAGAGCAGATGAAATCATATCGAAGCGTATAAGACAATGACTTTCACTTCGACTTTTGAACTCTTCTATGCTAGTTCAAAAACGAAAGATCGTCAGAACAAGTCTGGTTTTCTCAGAAAGCAAAAAATGAGTTTTTTCATCA